AGTGGAAATTATGGTGGTGCATTAGGCGCTTCTGCCCTTGCTAAAGGGCTCGAGGGTAACAAAGCTTTAAGGGTACTCATGTCATTTTCTTTTCCTTTATTTTTTTTTGTAACTAACACTAAAACTTTGTTGGCTTAAGTTTGTTTATTATAATATAAAAATGCAGGAACTTTTTTTGCATGGGAACTCGATAGGAGATGAAGGAGTTCGTGCATTAATAACCGGATTATCTTTGCATAAAGGTTTAGTTTCTTTATTTCTTTATTTATTTAATTTATTAAATATATATAATTATACGTTTCATTGAATTTATATATTTATATAAATCGTGTTAACTTGACATGTATAGTTTTATAAGCAGGAAAACTCACAGCTCTTGACATTGGAAACAATATGATAACCTCAAAAGGTGCATTTCATGTTGCTGAATATGTGAAAAAAAGTAAATCTTTATTGTGGCTTAATGTCTACATGAATGACATTAAAGACGAGGTATTCATTATTTCATTATTTCATTATTATTTTAATATTTTCTCTTTCAAATACATAACAATAATTAATATCTTATTATATAAAATGCATCAGGGAGCTGAGAAAATAGCCGATGCTTTGAAGGAGAACCGATCAATTACAAACATAGATCTGGTGAGTAGATGGCATAAACTCATTTTATTAAATTTAAAGTTTGTTTTATATAATTATTTGAAATTAAATTTATATTTTCAGGGAGGAAATGACATACATGCTAAAGGGATCACTGCAATAGCAGAAGTTTTAAAAGATAATACTGTGATAACAGCTGTAAGAAAATCAATTTTTTATAAACTTTTCGAGTTTTTTTTTATGGGTTAATAATAGCAAATTGAAAACAGCTTGAACTTGGGTATAATCCCATGGGTCCAGATGGAGCAAGGGCATTGTCGGAAGTTCTTAAGTTTCATGGAAATATAAAAACTCTGATGCTTGGTTGGTGTAAGGTAATTTATAAAACTAAAACTTTTTTATTTCTTCATCGAGTTTTAAAATCTTAAATTGACTAAATTAATTTAAAACATTACAGATAGGTGCAAAGGGTGCAGAGTTCATAGCGGATACTTTAAAATACAACAATACAATCACCACTTTAGACCTTCGAGCCAATGGCCTTAGTGATGAGGTTTATATTTTATATTTTATATTTTATATTATTAAAATTTTATATCATATTTTTATTATAATTAAAAAAAAGTTAATAGTGAGTGGGTGTGGGTGTGGGTGGTTGCAGGGTGCAAAGAGCCTGGCTCGAAGTTTGAAGGTGGTTAATGAAGCTCTTGTGTCATTGGATTTAGGGTTTAATGAAATTAGGGTATGACACGTGTTCATTGCAACACTTCTAATAAAAAAGTTAATTTTTTTTGGGTTAATTTTGATTTAATTTTTGTTAAAAAAAGGATGAAGGGGCTTTTTCCATTTCGCAAGCGTTGAAGGCTAATGAAGATGTGAGGCTGACGTCATTAAATCTTGCTAGCAATTTTCTTACGAAGTTAGGTCAAAGTGCTTTGACTGATGCAAGAGATCATGTGTATGAGATGAATGAAAAGGAATTAAGTATTGGGTTTTAGAGATTATCATTTCATTTTATATATACCCAAAGGAGAAAAGTGTTGTTAGGAGGTATTTAAACGTTTTATTATTTTTGTTTATTATTTAATATTTATACTTGGTTGGGTAGGCATCCCGACTACAGGGGTGTTAAGAAATTTTGTGAAGAACTTACTTGCACGCAACTATTTTTGTTTGCTTATTTTACTCACTGGCTATAACATATGCTGCCAAGGTACACTTCTTTTAATATCGTTAATTTATTAAATGTAAAATTTTATAGAGATAAACTTTTGACTTGTTCAAGTTTCCTATACAAGAATCTTTACGTTTGATTGCATTAGTTTTGTAATTATATCAATGTTGTACATCTATTTGTATGATCAGGGAAAGAATATGGCTACATTATATTGTATTAAGAGTACTAACATAAACTTCTCAAGCATAGTAAGTGTAAGAACAATGACTACATTTGTGATTTGTAGCTAAAACATTTTAAACTATATGTTTGATTCCTTATTTGATATATACCAAAACGTTGTGTTGAGTAACTTTGGAATTCAATTGAATCAAAGTATATCAGATTTGAACAAGTAGCTTGAGTTTTACCTACAAAAGAATCTAAAGCATCATTGTAGTCTACTTGAGCGAAAAGATCACTCGTATTCACTTGTTAGACCGGAGTCTGGAGGGTATGGGAGGGAAGTTTCCATCACTTTTTGTGGGCCATACCCCTCTTTCCTTCATTTTCCTTTCCCTTACCTAAAACCTAAGGAATGGGTGAGAAGGGCTTCCCTCACTTTTTTTTTTAAATAATTTTTTTTTATGATTTATAATTTTTAAATTAATATTAAACATAAAATTTAATTAAAATAAAAAGCATTTCCTTAATTAAAATAAAAATTACATTAAACCTAAAATTTAAAAAACTAGAAAATTAAAAAAAAAAAAACACACACCAACGACATACGGAAAATATTTTTTCAGAATTTTTTCCCTCTTCTTCATCACGAGCTCGAGAGTCGGTCCCGAGAGATGATCGGTGTTTTCCATCAAAAACTTCATATTCTCCATTTCTTGTCTCCGCCCGCTCCTTTTTCCTTGCTTCTTCTTTTTCTTTGTCGAAAGCCAAACGTTTGGAAAAATTAAGATTATATCGATCAAACGACGATGTTATTTTCCGCATTTCGTCAATGTCCACGCTGAAATCAGATGCACCCGAAGAAGTCCCTTTTCCTTTTCCCTTTCTCTTCGCTTTGTCCCTACCCATTGGGCGGACAATTTCTTCTAGCTCGAGTTCATCATCTTGATTTAAATCTAGACTGACCCGAGCATCGGAGGAGGTTGTGTAACCATTAGAGCCCGTTTACGTTCGCTTTGATTGTTGGACTCCAAAAATAAAATCTTGCTCGTATTTTTTCCACCTAGGACATCGGACCAATAATTTCCAACAATCGTGTTCCGACTTCCTCAAGGTAAAACTGCAAAGCTTCTTGAAGTATTTGTTCCTCGCCTTGGCCACTTTTTCGTTGGGTTTTTAGGTTGTTGTACAACCCATTTATTTTTGAAACCCCCTTTGATTTCTCGAAACTTCGAATTCAGTTGATGTTTCATACGGTAGTCGTCACCTTTTTCTAGCTCCTATCGAAACCGTTCTAAAATGCGAAACCAAAAATGGTCTCCCGGTTGTGCGTTTTCTTGAATCGAATCCTCAGAAATGTCAGCCCAAGCTTTGACCAAAACTAGCTCTTCGTGTGGAAGCCATGCTGTCGGCTTTTGTCTTCCCGGTTGTGCGATACCCTCGCGCGCTTGTTTCCCTTTACGTCTTTGTGGGGGTGGTGTGGGTTGAGTTTCGGGAACCATCTCTTCTTCTTCCGAGTCATCTAACTCATCGACAAGTTGGCGTTGTTGTTGGGTTTGGGTTTGGGTTTGAGTTTGAGTTTGAGTTTGGGTTTGGGGTTGAGGTTGATTTGGCGATTGTTGATCCGGAAAAACAACAAAGTTTGAAAACATTTGCGACGTAACATTTGGAACTTGGATTAGGTAATATTGCCCAACATTTTGGTATTGAAATTGTAGTGGGGATTGAATGGGAACATCGAGTTGGGGGCGATAAACTCATTGTGGATGAATCGATAGCAAAAATGTTTCGAGTAGGGATGTTTAAACTCGAACAATGACTTTTTTTTCTTTCGATCGGAAGTTGGGGTTTGATTGTCGCGATTCATTTTTTTTTTGAGAAGAAAATAGAGAGAATAGAGGGTTTGTTTGAATGTTGATTGAAGGTAAATAGTTGGGTATTTATAGGTGTTTAAAAAGTAAAAAAAAAAAAAAAACAAAAAAATTTGAGTTTAAATGCATATATCCGTTGGAAAAAAAAAAGAAAAAAAAATTGCTCAGCCAATGATAGGGGGAGAGAGAACGCGGGGTATCGTCCCCTCCCCCATTCCCGCACCTCCGCCTCCCGCAGTGACGGTCCGGTGTTCCGTCGTGCGGGAAGGCTCCCGCACCTCTTCCCCGCTATGATACCGTCCGGCCTTAGAGGAAAAACTCCACTATCCAAAAACAAAATGTTATATTTGATCTTCACTTGAGAGCATTCGTTGCAATTTTTATTGGGAATCGGAGGTATATGCTCTTCTCCATATATGCTTGGTGTAAAGAAAACCCCACAACAATGGATTATTTAGAAGACGTTGATCAAGAAACGTGATGCAAGAGAAAATTAAGAAAAACAACAGGTTTCGAATTATCCTCTTAATTGGGTTTCATTTGAGTCCTATGGTGGCACGAAGAACAATAGGATTTTCAAAGGCAAGGTAATTAATGAACAGTAATTCATTTTTTTTTTGTGAGATTAAAACCACCTTTTATAATTGAATTTGTATTTTTGTTGTTTTCCACTAGCCTTTTGCTAGTATTGGATTAATAAACTTTTTCCTGTTAAGAAAAAATAATATGCTTTACGAGAATGATCGGAAATCGGAATTGACCTTTTCATAAATTTCTTTAATTGATAAACAAAAGGGGTTTTTATCCTATGAATTATACCAAATATCGACTTACAAACAAAGAAATTAGACTTGAATAAGAACAAAAAATATTAACTTGAAGCAAATATCACATCATCACTCATAGTTCTACGAACCCTTCCAGTTTATAGAATACGTAGCCTTTCATTTCGTGGGCAGAAGACAGGTGGCAAGCAAGTGTTACATAGTAAAGTAAATGTATAGCTGAGTCGAACGACTGTATTCTTTATTTATAAATTATAAAATTAGTTTTATTAGCAGAAGACAGCTGGCAAATAAAGACAAAAGATATAGTGGGCCTGGTTCACTTCCCAAAGCTCATAACCCTCTTTTATAAGAACGAACTACCTTCATAATTTCTTTCACAACTTTCAATTCCATGCAAAAATGGCTTCCACTTCAAAGTTTCTCCTCCTACTTATCATTTCCATCTTTCTCATTTCTATGTCTCAGGTATTTTTCTGAACCATAACTAAATTAATAAATAGTTCCTTATATAGATTACGTTTATTTACGATTACTAATGACTTATTTTGATTTAATATGTACAAAAAATAAAGATTTATTTCAAGTTATCAACGCTAGAAATATATATCTTTTAATATTGTATTAAGAAGAAGAAGTTCCAATACTAAAACAACTTTTATAATCTTTAATCCATTTGTTTTTTCTCATTCTCACCGAAATTATAGCTTTATATGTGTATTTGTCACGTAATTTTTATTATGTTCATTTCAGGTATCTTCTTCTTCATCCGAGGCTGGGATAGAGGCCCAAGCGCATCAACCCCAGGTTTCTTACTCATACTTTCTTAATTTCTTATTATCATTTATTTTGTTGTAGTTACACAAATAGAAATTCACTTGTGTGATTTTTTAGGTGGTTAAAGGACCAAACCGCAGGTTTTTGGAGTTTGTAGGTATTTTTGTGCATTTTTTCCAAAATATTAAAGGTATTTTTGGGACTGAATATGTATAGAGAAAGGTGTTGAGGGTATTTTGTGTTAATTACGCAGACTGTGGGAGTCTATGTGCAGTAAGATGTGGGAAGCATTCAAGGCCAAACGTGTGCACAAGGGCATGTGGCACGTGCTGTCAAAGGTGTAACTGTGTGCCACCTGGCACACATGGCAACAGAGAAAAGTGTGGGAGCTGCTACACTGACATGCTGACTCATGGAAATAGGCCTAAGTGTCCGTAGTGTTTATGTATGTGTGGTGCTTTTGAGTTTTGGTCTAAAAATATGTGGCCATAATGTAATATTTAAAAGTTTTCTTCCTATGTATGCATGTAAGAAAAAACCTAATTATAATAAAACAGTTGGTGATAATTCAAAACGTAATTTTGTCAAGGTGTCGACAGGAATATGGAGAAAGATGAAACAAAATAATTGCAGGCCAGAACGCATTTGAGAAAGTATAATACTATAATGATCATACATGCATAAACCATAAACCATAAAGTTCATATGATCTTTTGGATCATTTTTGTGATCTTGTATATGTTCTAGATACTACTTTGAGTTTGTGATCTTGTATATGTTCTTCAAACTACTTTGGGCTTATCATCTTGTTAGTTTGTAAATGTTTTGTTTATATTTTTATAGTGTAGGGTCTTTTATATAAACATTATATACTAGTGTCTAGTGGTATTATTTATAGCAATGTAATACATCAAAAATCCTAAGGGTATTGTAACAAACCAATATGATATCAAGCCCTATGTTCCACATGTGATTTGTTTTTCCGGCCGCCTGCTGCCTCATTGGTTTTCTCCGCTTCCACCGATTGATTTTTTTTCTCGTGCATGTCCTTCAGCCCGTCGCCGTCGAAACTCGATGTAACGTCCCAAACATCATAGTAAAAGTTTTCAATCTTTAAAAAAGAAATAAAAGCCAATTCACAAAAGTCAAAACACCATAAAAATAATTGTTTCACAAAACGGAATCAAATCAGAGTATAGTAACATAACATCTCTCAAAATCATGAAATCTTCAGGATAGTGTGTACAATCATGCATTTGCTTTGCCCTTGCCTCAATCCTTAGAAGTACCTAAAACATTTAAATCAATAATTGTAAGCCAAAGCTTAGTGAGTTTCCCAAATACCCCACACAAATAGTACACATACAATGCATGCATACAAGACCTACATCACAGGGATGGGCCGCCACCTGATCCTTCAACGTTAAGCTGGACCGCCCTCCTTGGGCCTACAACATGAAGCTGGATCGCCCATTGGGATACAGCATAAAGTTGGACCGCCCGGGTATCTTGGCCTTTAGCACACAGCTGACCGCCTTAACCCAGCCATAACATGTCAACATATGCATATAAACAACAAACTACCAAACAGACACCACAAGTATTTATGAAAAATATACCTGCCTTACAGATCACTACAACATACCAACATCCTAACATACAAATGATCCATATTGAAGTACAAGATATAGTGAGAAAACTCACCTAAAAAATGGAAGCATATATCCCTACATCTCGTCACACGCAAAGAAACCGGTACAACACCCACCTAGTCATTTTATAAGGGTCAAACATCAATGTGTGACCTAAACCCTAAAGTTTGACCTAAAGTCAAACTTAGTCAAAAAGTCAACGGTCAAAGTCATCAGCCGAGTCATCGTGCCGTGGCCAACACCATGGCCACGACGTGTGTAACATTCCAAAAACCATGCCAAAATTTTTTATTTTTAAAAGGCATTTTCATAGAGTCATCAAAATATCAAATACTGCTTTCAAATCAAATTCATAAATATCAGAGTATTAGAATAATCTCTCAAACATAAAAACAACATGAAGATGTGTACGATCACGTCATCGCCTTGCCCCGATCATCTGAAGTACCTGAAAACATTGAAATCAACAAATGTAAGACAAAGCTTAGTGAGTTCCGCCAAAATACCCCACACAACAATATATATATATATATATATATATATATATATATATATATATATATATATATATATATATACAATGCATGTACACCGGGCCCACAATATAAAACTGGATTGCCTTGGGCCCACAGTCTCCAGACTGGATTGCCCCCAGGCCCACAATCCTTAGATTAGATTGCTCCTGGGCCCATAACACACAGCTAGATTGCCCCGGGTTTGTTGGCCTACAACACAAAGCCGTACCGCCTCAACCCAACCGTATTATGTCGACATATGCAAACAAATAAACAATAGCCAACAATACAAGTAATCATACAAATTTACCAATCTCACACATCACTAGAGTATACCAACATCCTACATACAAGGATACATACTGTAGTACAAAGTATAGTGAGAAAACTCACATCACAGTCTAGAAGATAACAGTATTGATCACAGATCCAATAACCGGCTCTACATGTCACCTATACAACAAACGGGGACCAAGTCTCAACCTACAACTCAAAATCCTCAATTTGACCTAAAGTCAAACTTGGTCAAATTCAACAGTCAACGGTTACACTCCAGCCGATCTACACTCTACGTAGCATGTAGCTCTACGCTCAGCGTAGAGCTCAATGTGGAAAAACTGACAACTCATAGCTACGCTCAGCGTTAGGGCTGTGCATGGGTCGGTTTTGGATCCAAACCCAACCCAACTCATAAATGGTTGGTTTCTGGTTTTCAGAACCCAATAGGATCGGTTTCTGGTCGGTTCGGTTTCTCGGGTTCTGAGGTCGGTTTGGGCGGTTTTTCGGTTTCTTGGGTTCAACCCATACACTCACGGGTTCTGGGTTTAAACCCATGGGTTTTGGGTTTTATTCCATTTTCCATAAATGAAGCAACAAGTTAAATACTTCAAAAAACACCAAATTTAAGTTAAATACTTCAAAAAACATGAGTCTTATAGCAAATAGTCTATTACAAGTTACAACCAAAGCCCGAAATAGTCTATTACAACCAAAACACAATCAAGTATGGGTCGGTTTCTCGGGTTGGATGGGTCGGTTTCTTGGGGCGGTTTGTCGGTTTTAAGTATGGGTCGGTTTCTCGGGTTGGATGGGTCGGTTTCTGGGTAAAAACCGAAACCGAACCCGATTTTTCGGTTTTTAAAAAATTCAAACCCAAACCGTCGGTTTTGCTTCGGTTTCGATTTCGTCGGTTTTAGTCGGTTTCTCGGTTTCTTGGTTTGGGTTTGCTCACCCATACTCAGCGTATAGAAAAATATGCCCAATGTAACACATGATGTCCAACGTTTTCATTAAGTACTTAAACCAAAATATTAGCTCTCCATACTTTCAGATCTATACCAAATAGACGTCTTACTGGGCAAAATCTCTTACTTTATCCATTTCCATGGCCACCAAGAGCACAAAATCAAAACCTAGGTTCCTAAAGCTATCGATTGCTCAAGAACCAATGCATGGATGGATAAGAGTGATCAAGCTCCCGTTTTTATGACTTAACAACCCCAAAATCGTCTGAAAATAATACTCAAATGTTCTGGAGTAGCTCATACTCATGAAGACCAAGGTTATGGGGACATACTCATGCAAATCTTAAGAGTAACTAGATCTATCATGAAACATCACCAAGGTAGGAACTTTATACCTTCTGTAGGAGAATTTCAAGATGCAAATTCCATATCCACAAGCTTGGAGCTTCCCAAGTGCTTTCCCAAATGAAGCTTCTCTTTCAAAGATGAACACAAAACACTCTAAGGTCACAAAACTTTCACAATATGGCTAGGGTTTCGAAGTGGCTGCTTAAGAGGCTGGATTCTGAGGATGGAGAGGGCCTCAAGGGGTTAGAGCCTTTAAATAGGGCTCACAACCCCAAGGATTAGAGTTTTGGTTCTGCACATATAGGTAACGTAGCTTAGCCTATTCTCAACGTAGGTCACTTAATCCCCGCGTCCAAACTCCCTACTATGGTTAGTGTAGGGACTATCCTACGCCTAATGTAGGGTAGAACTATTGAAATTAAAATTAAAATTAAAAATGATAATAATAATACCTGCAAGGATCGGATATTACACCGTGGTGGCTAAAGGCTAGAATGATTACGAATCTATTTGCCACCGTGCCGTGGCAACGTCCATTTCCACCTTAATCCATTAAGTTCTTAACCCTATTTCCAGATCTCTAAAGCTCAAATTTGGATCGATTTAGGCTATGGATGGATAAAGTTTCCAAATTTATCCATTTCTAAACCGATAGGAGTCTAGGTCTTAAACCCTAACACAAAAGAAACCCAAATGACCTAAGAGATCTATGCATGGCTGATTTTTGAGCAAAATTGCAACTTTATGGGACCCTAATGTCCATAAACTAACATGATTCTCATCCTAGACCCTAGAGTTGCTTCAAACTCCAAATTTTCATTTTCCTCAACCTAAAAGGGACTCAAAAACATCAAAAATAACTCATAAAATGAAAAAGTATGAACTTTATACATTCCGGAGCCTAAGGATGATTGTAGAAGCAGTACTCAACAACAACAATTCCCACAACTAGCTTGAATCACCTTCTTCTTTCTCTATTAGCCTTGAAAAGCCAAGAACACATATTCATTCACCAAGAACACACATGTAACACCCGTTCCCTGAATGGATCAGGTGAGGGCTTGGTGGGATCAGAGATATGATTTTTGGGAAAAAATAGGTGCCATCATGTGGTGATTGGAGCACCATGATGTGACGTATTTTATGCATGATGGCATGTTTAGTTGGTCGCCACGATGTGGCAAGGAAAGGCCACGACGTGGTAGCTGTGGCGGTCCAAGCCCATGATTTTTAGGGGTTTCTCCATATTTAAGCACCCAATCTCAAGGATTAGGGCATCCTTTTCAGCCTCTAACCCTTTCAAACGAAACCCTATCCTCTTTGGAGTGATTATTTTTGTATTAGTGGTGATTATTGAAGTTTGAAGCTTTAGCTTTCATTTTTGGAAGATGAAGTGGTGTCCTTGCTAGTTGGAAGAGTGCATCACTTCAGATCTTGCACCTCATGCATCTTGTGGAGCTTTGGAAGGTAGAAAACTTCCATTTTTTTGGTTATATATTCATAGATCTAAGATTTATTTCATTTCTTGGTTCATATTAAAGTTTGGGTTGATTTGATGAGATAAAGTTTGCAACTTTATAGCTCATGTTGGTCCCTTGGTCACTATATCTTTTGGATCCGAAGTTTGATGGTGTTTTGAGATCCATGTATGAGATTTTGGTCTTTTTGCCCCATTTTGA